AGAGAGTGTTATAATACTGTAATATTACATATATTTTAATATAATTTTAATAAACGTATAGTATAATTGAACAACTTAAATTATACACAATTTATCAGTATTTTAAGAATAATTTAGAAAAAATGTAGTTATTACAGATAAACTATATAACAAAACTGTAATTAATTTTGTTTGACACACAAAAAATAAACAATTAAATAACAGATGATCTTCTGCCACTGCCACCCTCTCGGTCTGGAGCATAACGGAGCCATCTCTTTTACTGCCTCGGAAAAGTCTGCCTTGGAGGCCTCTTTTCCTTGGGCTGTATTTCTTAATGCACCTGAAACATTATGGAACAAAATGAAGAGTTCAGATCCAAAAGCCTCTAAGTGCCATTTGAAATTTTCTTCTATAATGATACATTTTATCAAGCTTGTATATTTAAGTTCAGTAATTTCACTCAAATTGAAATGAAGATTACCTATTAATTGTCATTTAAGTGAAATTACTGAACTTATACAAGCTTGGTGATAGAAGAACATTATAGAATAAGATTTTCAAATGGCATTTAGAGGCTTTTGCATCTTCAAATATAACTGACATGGTTGCACCAAAATGAACATATCTTATAGGGCATTTCAAACCTGAACTAAACCAATCTATTACTTACGGAACATTATCTTCGAGAGATTGAGGTCTCGAAGCTCCTCTTCTCTCCACGTCCTGCCCAGTTCAATGACGAAGCCAGTTTGTTGCTTAAAATGTGGCTCAACATTTTTCTTATAGTGCCTTCCAATTTATGCCCACCTAGAAGTGACAGCTGGTAAATCTAATAAAAAGGGGATCAGTGTTAAAAAAATGATGCCCAATTAAATGCACACAAAAATACATTTTCTATTAACCTTTCTAAATAGACTTTATCTGAGCCATACATACAGTATGTTTCTACAGACTTTTTTTTTTTTTTTTTTTACTTTTCTGTTGATCTCTCTTCAAAGTGCATCCACAGACTGGACTATGTTTATATATTTATTTTCAAACATAAATGGTGTCAAATTCAGTTTTTTCTGTTTCTGGGTATATTTCCTGGGATGTCTCTAGAATTTACTCAGATTAGTGCAAAAAATAAAAACATGAGAGGACAACAGAGAATGGTCTGACTCGTTCAAACTGACAAAGTATACAGTAAATTAGAAACCCACTTTACAACTGTAATGAGACAAGTATCTTAGCATGGTATTTTTAGATTTCCAATCCTCTCTGTAGATTTGTTTTCAGACCATATGTAGTATAAATGGTTGTATCCTATTAAAGGGATAGTTCACTTTGAAATTAATTTTTGATATGTTTTAGCTTACCTCAAGGGCCTCCAAGATGTAGGTGTCTTTGTTTCTGCAACAGTTTAAATTTTGATATTTTTAGGTCAAAGCGTTCTTGTCTGTAAGTCATATAATGGAGGTCTATGGTCACCACCTCAAAGAGCATGCACTATGGGATGAATATAGTATCAAAATGATCAACACGTGCAAGCACAATTATCAATGAACTTGATACATGCTGTAGAAATGTTTTATCCATGCCTTTCAACTTGCGTGTGCAAAATTCAAAATTGAATGAATGTGTAGCAATTTGTACAAATAGAGAAAATTGTGTGAATACATGTTTTCTTTTGTGGTGTATCATAAATTGTGCATGCGCTGGAAGTGATCTCTCTCGCGTGTTGTGCATCACTCATTGTTTACACAGAGATTTCGGAAGTTTTACCTTTCACTGTGAAGATCTAAACATATTTCGATATACAGGAAATCGCAATGGAAGATTATTTCAATATATATCAACAGACAACCTTTCCGCAACCTTGCGAGAGATCACTTCCGGCGCTTTCTGGCGCTTGAGCAGACCGAAGCGGCCACGCCCTCAGATCACTTGGACGTGGCTGTGGTTACAAGAGGTAAAAACATCAATGTGTACTAATACATTTTTACGAGTCATTAAATCATGTTTAATTTGGACTTAGACCTCCATTATATGACTGACAGACAAGAACGGTTTGACCTAAAAATATCAAAATTGAAAATACTGTGGAAACAAAGACACCTACATCTTGGATGCCCTTGAGGTAAGATAAAGCATATCAAAAATTAATTTCAAAGTGAACTATCCCTTTAATCAAAATGGTAGCATTATTTTCAGGATTATATTTCTACTGTATATAGTACAGTCATCTCTAATAGTTTCTGTTTTTATGAAAACTGAATGGGGCAATCGTTTAGAACCATAAATATTTTTCAGTAATCTTTATGTTATTTTTTCCATACTTATCAAGACCTGGAAATTAAATAAAATTCCATATTTTTCCAAACTGCGTAGGAACCCGGTTAAATATAATTGCATTACAAGACATACCAATCTATTTTTTTCGGTCTCATCCAACCTCTCCAATTCCTCAAAATCTTCAAGAGATTGTAAAGGTAACTGCAAGCCACATCTTATTTCCTGATCAGGTACAGCAGGCACTCCCTGTAAGTTTTGTATCATTGCTCTCTGCTCTTTTAGCTCTGCCTTAACTTCCATGAGAAGTTTAAGCACATTCCTCTTGAAAGGAGACAACTCTACAAATAAAGTAGACAAGTAAATAAATATATTAAGAGAGAGAAACTCTACTAGTTCAGTAATAACCCTAATCAGAAATTACTAACAGGTTTAGTGTTTAAATTAATACTTGAACATGGAATTTTTGTTTTTGATTTATTACCGTTGGTATGTTCATTCCCCTGCGATGTTAGTTGTGCTCTTGGATTTTCTGAAGAAAACACAACAGTTTTTTTTAAACTTCTTATAAGTTCCTAAAACTCATCTGTAAAACAATTAGTCTTGAAGAGGTTAGCAGTTTGAAGAATCAGCTGAAAAAATGTCTGAAACAGTCAGACTGGAGTTTTGGTTCATGTATTTTTCTTTAAAAAAAAAGAGTGACAGTAAATACTAGCAGCAAAAGATAGGATGGATGTCAACATTTATAGTATAATTATATTTTAGCCTGTAAGTCCCACCTAAAAGGACATAATAATAATTAAAAAATGACATAAAATCAACATAAAGGCCAAATAAAAAGTTCCAAATAACTGTTTTCAAAATAAATTAAAAAAGTCATTACCATTGACCAGTTCAGTCAGTGTGCCCTGATGTGCTCCGTACTGTGATCCCTGGTGTGCTCTGTTGTTTGCGTCTTGGTATGTTCCCTGGTGTGGCTCCGTTGTGTGATCCCTGGTGTGCTCCATAGTGTGATCCCTGGTGTGCTCCGTTGTTGTTTGGTGTGTCCATAGTTGAAGTGCTCCGTGTGATTGCCTCTTGGTTATTGTTCCCTGGTGTGCTCCATAGTGTGATCCCCTGTGATGTGTGCTACATAGTTTGTGCCCTTGTGTGCTCCGAGGTTTGTGTGTTCTGACCCTGGTGTGTGCCCTGTGGTGAACTCTGTGTGAATTTTCTGAGAGAAATGTGCACAGTTTATTTTTAGGCATGAAATGCTTGTGTTAAACTGACAAGACAACCAATGTTTAATAGACTACATTTCAATAATATATACCAGCTGAAGTGATGTCTGATGCAGGACTGGAGGCGTGGTAGTTCATGTGTCTCTCTGAAAAAAATTAGCAAAAGACATTAAAGGTTATGAAACAAAGGGCAAACTTTTGCGCAATGTTGCAGGGTAATGTTTAATCAACTGGTAACCAGGTGAGATACAGGGCCCACAAACTAAAGTATCAAGATAGAAATTTAATTAAAAAAAGATATTTCAGAATTTGTGGAGCTGGAAGAACATTTATTACAGCTGTGATACAATGTAAAAGAGGCATTGAATTGAATAACATAAACACATACCAAGTGAAGAGAGGTTTGAGACAGCTGGACTGGTCTCAAAGTTCATGTGACTTTCTAAAAAACAAAACAAATGAACAAGTGTAATTAACAGCAGGGTTTTGAGTAATGAAATTGTGTGCTTTGAATTCATTCAGTCATGTTTGAAAATCACTAAAGGCGGACATTTGTGAACTTTCTCAATTGGTAGATTTTAATGATGTTGCTCTTAAGGACATTTTTATAATGGGTTAAATTAACCATACGTTCAAGGATGCAAGGGGGAAGAATACATTTTTCCCTGGCCCAATATATAGATTATGCCATGCTGCAGAGCCTGTTCCTATCATGCCTGCCACACCAGGGCCAGTTGGTGACGGCTCCAGCATCCCAGTGACTTATACAGTCCCGTAAGGCCGCTCCATTTCACAAACCCATAGCTTCTCCCAAGAACATTTTGGGGGGAGCTGTATGTTTATTCAATTTTATGGCAGGTTCAGTGCATTCCAAATTAAATTGAACTAAATTTTCTTGTGAAGTTTTTTGGGGAAAAAGTTTGAATCGCCTTGAAATTCAGGGACATTTGATCATGAATACCTTTTTTTTTTTTTTTAAAGTAACCACAAAAACAGTTTAATTATACTTCCACAATACCTGGAAAAACAATTGCGGGAGGAGCTGCGAGCCGTGATTTTTTTGGTGCATCATCATCCTGGTCAGATTCATTTTCTATAAAGTTTAGGAAGCGTGGATTAGGCCTGTAAAGTGAAACATTTAAATTACTTCTCAATAGGACAACACTTATAAAAAAACAAATCATCGGTATTTATTATCATTAAGTTAACCTTTTCTTCCTTTTTATTCTTTCATGGCCCTGTTCATCAGAAGTTATTTCTGACGTATGGATATCACAGTCCACATACTTTTTTAGCATCTTCTGTGCTTTTTCTAGGGTTTCTGTAATATAGATATGAATAATAATATAAAATTGAGCAAAGCATGTAGTATCAGTGCATAGAGATAATAATAATAATTTTTAAAAAATCGTACCACACTTTTTGAGCAATCGGACAGGCTCAAAGACTTTCCATCCATCTTGGACAGGCTCTTTTCTCTTTACTGCTGCCTTTAATTTTGCTTGGTTGTAATTTGGCCAGTAGCACTTTTGTTCAAAAAGCCAATTATCTGGGACAACATCTGTGCTTTTGTCTGGAAATTCTATTAATGAGTAACATGGGTTCACTTTATCCATTACTGTCTGGGAAAGATAAAAAAAAAATTGAGAAATGTTGACCCCAGCTATGATTAGTTCTGGGTTGCTGCGTGTTCAGCTCCCTTACCCATACCAATCACAGTGGAGTAAGAGTCATGCATGAATTAATTTATTTGTATGTAATGTAATGTAATGTATTTATTAGTATACAATAAAAAAAAAAAAACAGAAAGAGTGGGTGCTGCATCACTTAGAAAACAAGTGAAATTTGTATTTTCTCAAAGTTCAGTCACTACAACAAACTACCCATTAGTTTACTCAAAAATTAATATTCTGTCATCCTTACTTTATCTTAGAAAGACATATTTAGATATTTTTTTTAAAGATTTTGGTCACTCCAACGACAGTACTACAGATAACCAAAACGTTATAGATTAAAAAGCCTAGATTAAATCTTTCCATCGTATTCATATTTATACTTTGTTCAAGAGTTAGATTACACCTCTCAATTCATTTGGATTTGTTTCAATGTTATGACATTTTTTGATCTAAAGATTTGGTGTCTGGACTGTCAATGGAGTGACCCGAATCTCTCAGATTTCATTAATATGAAAATGAACGAAAATCTTATGGCTTTGGAGCAACATGAGAGTGATGATAGAATTTTCATTTTTTCAGGTTAACTAACTCTCTATGATACGGTACTATATACAGTATTTTGAACAATTTGTTTCCACTTTTTCAATATGTTATGTTTATTTAACTGTAAAAACATTTCCAAAAGCCTGACACTACACCATACGTGCTCACTCTGCTGAACAAACACTATCTGCAATGGAGAAGGGGTATTGCAAAAAAAAACATTCTCGTTTTCAGGAAGAAGTACATACTTCTGTTTCACACTGGACAAAGGTACGATTTCAGTCTTTTCTTGCAAGACAGAAACTCTGTAACATCCAAGTGCAGAGGAGTCGCATGGGTATGTGTAAAAATGATACTCGTTTTAGGAACCTCTGGCACACTATATGAATGCTTTCATTCTGTTTGATTATGTCCTTAACGATGGCTATGTCTGTGTCGATTTTGATACAGTTGTCTCCTTGTTTGGGTGACAGAACACAATTTGACAAATGCACCTTTTTTAGCTCTTTTGAACTTGATGAGAGAAGTAGATCTCCATTTGGTTGGTGAGATTCTTTTGGAAGCATTTCTGAAAGTCTTTTGACAACCTGCTGTAAAGGTCGATCTGGTTTTCTAACCAATCGTTTCAATCCACCCAGGTAATTCTCATATGGAAATGCTGAAATATTATCAAGAGGGCCGAACGCTTTATACTCGTCTGCAAGATGGATAACCTGGTGGACATTGTAAACCACTTCATCTGCGCCGTACAATCTGATGAAATGTGTTACAAATGACAACAGAGCCTTGTTGGCAAATTCAATCATTGAATCAGAGAGGCCAGGACTAAGCAGCTGAAACATGCCAACAGAAAACAGAAGAAAGTTGTCATAAATTTCGGATTCAACACATCCTTTTAAAACAACGGGACCCGTGTATATCATGAACTGGCGGAACTCTGTGGCCTTCCATCTATCCACATCTGTCAAAGAACGAGGTTTCCTGGCAAACTCTTGAGGCATAAACGAACGGAGAGCAATTAGTCTGTCAGAAATCTGTGTGATACGCTGTGATGACAACCTTGTTCTAAGCTTTTTCCCTTTCATCCACATTTGAATTAATCTCCTCATCACTCCAAGACAGCAGGTGTGCATGTAGTCTAACGGGAATTGGGTTACCATTTTTACTAGTTCGTGCAAGGGGCTTAAGGTATTGTTCAAATGGTGTTCTTCATTTGTCATCATTTCATAATCCATGTCAGTACGCAGTGGAGCATCTGTTTCAGGATATGTCATTTTATTAGACCATACTCCAGTCTGGGAACATTTGTCACAACCAAAGTAGCCATTGTGAGACTTGACATTTTTGAGGAATGCTCGTGCAGGGGCGTCGCAAATAAAGGAGGAGACAACAACTTTGAAACGAGTACCATTCTTTACAATGCCTTCTCGCAAAACCACTTTTAATTCTGCAATGAATTCTCTCAAATACTCACAGACTGAGCTCGGTTTACTATTGCCACAGAACAAACCGATTACAAATGGGGATCGCAGTCAACTGTTGCAAGAATTGGCCAAAATTGTCTTCCGGAGCTTTTAAACAGGGGGATGCCATCAATATTAAACTGCAATGCAAGAGTTTGGACATATTCAGAAATATTGGAGATCCTACCTAATATGTTTTGCAAGCCATTTACCAGGCCAAAATGGTAATATTCGCCATTGCAAATGTTTACCACGGGTACATTTGTCTGTGTATCAAGAAGAGTCCTTGCATCCTTGGGCAAATCAGGAAATTCTGGTCTTAAGATTGCCAATAGTGCTGTTAGAGCTACTAGAGGGATGCAAAAAGATGCTGCCCATGTTTGCAGTTTAGTTTGCAACTGATTAAGTGAATTGTTGCTACTGCTGTCAGATTCTACATTTGTTTGGATGCTGCCAGGATCGGAGAGATTGTCAGAATCAGAGATGAAATCAGACTCCGTGTTTTTTTCCAGGTCACATGAGTTCTCATGTGGGGGCAAAAGAGAGGAAACTGCATCACAAGAGGATATATCACCACTTTCAGTGTCTTGACGTGTGTGACCATGAACACTAGAGTCATCAGTGTTTTCAGTTTGTGTTTTGTATTCATCCAAAATCTCTTTTTCTATCTGTTGTACACTGGCCAAAGTCTTTCTCCTTTTAGTCCAATAAGACATTGAGTGTTATTGTCAGTATCATATATTTCGTTTTGTAAAAATTAAATGTACAGGTATTTTGTTTTCATACAATCTAGTTGTTAATTGATGTGTTGTCACGTGTAAAGTGGTGTTTATAATTATTTACTTCTCTAGCATCTGTTCCTTTGGAAAATCCTCCTGAAAGACAAAAAAAGAACTGTATGTTATAGGGATGATACAAATTACAAAAATATATTTTTATATTTATATAAACTTTATTTTAAGAAAATTAGTCTTCCAGGTTTTGATGCACTCTACATTTTGATGCATTGATGCACATACTGAAGAGAAAAAAATGTGATGGTGT